GGAGTCCTCCACATCTAAGAAGGCGTTGCCCCCTGCCGCTATAGCTGGAGTAGTTCTTGGAGCTGTTGTGGTATGCTGTGTCATCCTGGCAGTGACCCTTCTCTTTGTCCGTCCAAGGTACTGGAATCGAAGCTGTGATAAGACAGCCGAAGCACCCGCACTGTCGTCATCGTCATGCAGGACTTTAAGCACGACTCCAGATACGGTTTGGCCACGATCTTCGGGGTCTAACACGGGTCAAGCTCCAGGTCAGAATGCACATCAAGCTTTGGGTCAAGCTCCGGGTCGAGCATTGGATCAAGCATCAATGCAGAGTCCATGCATATCACCATGTTCCCCTGAGATTCTGCAAGTGATTGGCCCGCCGGCCCCACCTCTAGAACCGCCAGTGTTTGAAAAATGCTCAAATTCTGTGCATGAGCTTCCAGGAGACGAGTAGGTCATGACCCTGTACACTCTACTACTTGAGCCGGAGGGCAAGCTGGAAGAAAACTCAATCATGTAGAGTCGATTCATGTCTTTGTCGGCATGAACATTATCTACAACCCTATTGAAGAGGCCCGCCAGGACGATTCCCAATCTTAGGAGTTCGTCTGTGTTGGATACATAGCTGGAAAGAGTGGTCGAACGTCATGTGCGTCATAGGTCGAGGCCATGCATAGTACAATTCCATACAAAGAATCATCGTCACTGTGGCAGCTGAACAGATATGGAAGAATTTCGAAGACCGTTTCCAGGACGATGACTTCGTGGATCCCTGCCATGTACGCCTTCTAAAGCATATATCTCAGGTTCGCGGCAACGATACTGCTAGAAAATTGCTTCATCTCCTTGCAAAGTATGATGAATCCGCTGCCAGATCTGCTTTCACACTATTGCAATCAGCAGAGTGCAACTCTAGAAGGGGCTTGTACAGAATATGTCTACATCCGGGAAATTGACAAGCGATAGTGGATGGAGGTCACATGGCGATGATATCCGTTGACGGAGCTGGCAGATGCTAGCCGTAGCATTGCGCAGTGGCTTGAGATTATGGTACCCGTCGATTCTTTCACCAGGAGGCTCTCTTTGAAGCTAGCTTGTTACGTAATAAATGCTCCTGGAAGTGTCGTGCTGATAACATCTCGAGACTGAGAAAATGAACATGCTCGACTGTCACTCGAAAATACCCTTCCCGATGGTGCTCTTGCTAGATTGTATCAAGATCAAACTTCTTGATAGGTCACCTTTGATGAGTGACGGCAGACAAACTGCATCCTTGCTTCGACAACCCGGGAGGAAGGAACAAATAAGGCCTTTGACGTGTACTACGGGATGGTGTTCTCGGCCTGAACAAAGGCGGAAACGAGGTGCTCGTTGCGTGGCTAGTATCCAGCATGAGCACTGCTGCCAATAACCACTGTCTGACAAGGACTGGATCACAATGGAATCTACGTTGCGATCTCTCGCCTGCCCTGCGTATTTCATCGATACCGGAAGCATCCAAGTTAGAGTGAGTCAGTGGAGGTTTACGCTGTCTGATCGTAGTGGCTCTCTGTTTTGTAACGCCTCACCCGCTACGTTGTTTCGGTAACGCCATCCACTGATTTAGTTTACAAGAGTCCTTCAAGCTCAAGGATGGGCTTTTGCTCGAGATCACTACTGGGTCAAGAATTCAATCCAGCACCGGCATTAGATGTAATCATGGTGCCACAAGGCAAAAACAGGCCAACGGTTGCCATCACATAAGGTCTCGTGCCTCGGCATCAGATCTATGTAAGGCACTCAAGATTCAAAATTCACAGCCGAGTACTCGATCAGAATGTCTCTCTCGAAAAGTGAGTTT